ATTGAGTTTTGAAACTCAATTCAGGGGCGTAGGAACAAGGTCAAATTACTCCTTCATCTAGCGTGATTTGCACGTGCATCGGGGATAGGGGTGCTTATTATTGGCCATACACGAAAGCGCTTGAATACAAGGAGTATTTCACTCCTATTGACTTAGTCTGAAGAGTTCAGAAGGTATTCAATTTTTTCTCCATATGAAGTACAGAATGTTCGGCCAACCGGTGGGTAACTAATACTGTATACGATTGTTTTAGTTTGTGTATTGTTATTGTGGCGTAGCTAGCGGTCCCGCTGTACCGCCGGGCGGGACTAGAAATTTAAAAAAAAAATGAGGAAATGTTTTATAGTGAAGCCGAATTCACAGCTTTTCTTATTCTGAAAATTTATAAATATTTCAGTGCTTTCATTTATTTATTTAAAGTTTACGCAATGTTGCTGTCTGCTCTTTGACCTCTGAAACTCAAAATTAGCTAATTTCCACGCAATTGATTGCTTACTCACGCAATTTGTATAATCGCATGTCTCGTGTTCCGCTGATTTTCATATGGCGGAATATGCAACACTATCCTATACAAGAAATTCTGGTTTCTGATTGGATAATTGGTGCAGCGCATGGCTGTTTTTAATTCCAAGTCCCGCTATTTTATAAAGGCGGAGGTTGTCAAGTCAATTCCATATATTAAAGAACTCCGCGAGTATTTGCAGTAGAAATACGAAAATACCACCAAAAAATTCCGCTTGAAAGATACTATGTAATTGAACAATGTAAAATAGCCATAAATTATAAACTATCCATACTCGGGCAGTGTAAACTATACCTATATATAATATACTCGAACAATGTAAACAATGTTCACTATTATTAAGCCATACCTTTCGCCGAAATTATATAACTTCGGCCACTTCCAACGTTTCTTTTTGGTATTAGTCTTGTTCGAATCACAATCTAACACACTATTTAGAGTGTTGTGTTCAAGCTTGTATTGCAGATTTGCATCTTTTATTTCGGTATTTCAAAATATCTAGATTTTACGCGAGAGCTTTGACCGGAGGTTCAAGTTCAAATATCCAAAACAATGCGATGTTTACATCCTAGCACTCGGGAAACGTCGGAAATCGATTATAAAGGTCAAATTACTCGTGTAGCGTGATTTGCACGCGCATCGGGCTATGGGGCTCCTTACAATTTTTTTGTATTTTACCAAGGCAAAATACTCCTGTTTAAATAGAGGTGTATTGAAACTTCGGCGGGACGATTATTTTGAGCCAGCTACGCCACTGAACTCTATTAGAGTTACGTATTTTCAACAGAGATTCGTAATTTTTGAATAAAGTAGTATAGTTAATCCTAAATAATTTTCCATCCATCACAAAAATTAAAGCTGGCTTTATGTTGATTTAAGTAATATTTATTAATAAAAAGGACAATTTTTCCAAAAGCCCCAGAGGGCTTATCTTGGGAAATCTTGTCATACAATATAATATTACAAGGTTAACAAAAATAGACATCACATTCGGACTAAAATACATAGAACAGACATATACAGTATTAACTAGGATAAACAAACGAGATTAACATAACACCACAAAGATCACACATAATATTATGTAATGTACTTATAAATCTTAACAAAAACGTTTGGTATTATTAATAAAGTGCTGCACAAGTGAAAATAGCTTAACGTGAATTGATAAAGTTACATCGGGATGTCCATATAAAAACCATTTAATTAAAGCGCATTGAGGTTGATGAGTTTAACCATAAAGTGCCGAGCAATTGTTCAGCGGCAGCAAAAAGAACACAACGTTCAGCAGCAAATCGATTACATTCTAAGAAGAAGTGGAGCTCTGTTTCATTCGCCAAACCACAATTACACATTGGTGAGGCCACACAGTTCATCAGGAACGAAGGATAATTTAAAGTACTATTACGTAAACCCGTAAACGAAATCGAGTATGCAATAAAGAAGCCATGCGATTTCCAGTTATAAATAAAGTATTAATTTTTGGCATTTTACGCCACTTCTTATAGCTGTTTTGGAAACAAGCTAATGAGTGAGAGCTACGAACGTCAAGTGGCAAAGTGTTCCAAAGTTTGACTGAAGAAATTTATGTTGGTACATTGGTATAGAAAATTAGTAATTATACACTACCCAGACTCATCAACTTAGCTCTTTTTGTGTAGTAACTAAACAATTGTTAAGCGTTAAGAAATTAATATATAAAACTTTCCTAAAATTGTTTAGATCGTGTTTTCATCTCTGTTTTTTTCATATATCGCCCGTCGCTTTTCCAATAGTGCCATAATATCCCCGGGTTTGATGTCTCACCTTCACCTGTCGTAAAGTACTGACCGTTGAGGTTGGAGTACTTACAGCTGTTATACCACCAACTACCTTTGCACGCCACAGCACAATTAACTGACGCATGATCGTTGTCTTGGTCTTTGGTGGAGAACTTCATTCCGTTGTGATAAATTAACGAATCACCAGCATTACCTTAAAATATATTTGACGCACTAAAGTAATTTGTATCTTTAAGAAAAATGGCCATCCTACGAGAAACATGGATCGATGCATTAGGTGCAATTATAGAACATTAATCTATATGTAATTTTATAGCATGATCAGCTGATCGGAAGGCAGGCTGATATTGATTTACAGATATGGGTTAAACACAAATCTCTTTTAAATTTTCATCGTGAAATGTAAAGTGAGCATTTTAAAGAAATTTTATACAAAATTTTTATCCAAATTTTCTTTTTCATTATATTTACGCTCAGCATTGACCCTGTTTAGAGTCTTGATTAGAATTACTAAAATATTAGCTTACATGCAGTTTCTTCAACGAAAGCAGTCTAGCTCTATCAAGGTAATAAATTATAATCAAAGTATAATACAAACTTATGGAACTCTTGTTATGCAACTCAACCCGAATGCAATGCAATGTCTTATCTACGCAAATTAACAACAAAGCGAAAATAAAATGTATTACGAGGAGGTATTCAACAAAATTGTTTGAATGTTTTAAAACGTTTTTCGCAACGACTTTAAGGCAAACAGGAAAGTTACGAAACGGTAAATGAATGAGCTTACTAATATTTTCACATGGTTTTTTATTCTCTTCTCCAGAGGCGTGGGAAGCTAATTTATTATTGGAGGGTGGTGGGGTTTGAATGTGATGCGTAAAACATGAGACAGCTAGTGGACTCTCCAAAACTGGTAGATGCAATGCTTTTTAAAATCTACCAGATAATATGCGCATAGTATGCGCAAAATATACAGGAATGGCTGAGGATAACTAAAATGTAATCAAAACTTAGGGATACGAAAAAGCTTTTTCTATCGCACACTATGACAGTGCATGCCCTTTCTACAATGATGGGGAAACTACATGGCTTCCGTATTTGCCACATTTTCTCTGGGAACTATAGTATTGTATAACAGGCCAAATAGAAACCATTCTGTTTTCCATAAATGTTTTGAAGTAAGGGGCACGAACCTTTTGAAAATGGCTGGTCAAATGGACTCGTCATTATAGTTGGAAGAAATTTTACGTGTGAACTTTTACATATATTAATAAATAACATAACAATTGTTAAATCCAATTTGAACATGATATGCAGAATAATTCTGTCCTCCATTTTCGGCTTATAACGATCCATATCATGCATACTTATTTCAATAATTGTTAAATTGCGGCATTAAATTATTTCTTAGAGGATCGTATTTACCTGAAAAGGTGTCAACTTTCAGTTTATAGAATTCAGATTCAGAATCCACAACAAAATTCTCATACTGTGCGTAGGCTGTGTCGTTAGCAAAATCTGTCAAATCGACTCTAAGAATATTTTGACCAGATTTTGTCAAACGATGTATTTTTTCCAATCCAATCCAGAAATTTCCATTCAAATCACCGAATCCATCTTTATACTCTTGCCAAAGTCGATAAAAATCCACACTTGCGTCTTGTCTTCTTTGAAACACTGTCCAGCCTCCACCGTTTGTTTCCATATCACACGTGACTTGGAAAGATTCCGAGTTATCTGGGTTGATTGTATATACACCATCATATCTAAACCCAGCTTTATATAAACTGGCACAACTTTTCCTTGAAACTGCAAAAAAAACCGCAATAAATACAATTATGTCGAAACTTCACTCTCATCCGCGGAATCTTACGAATGTTTAATCAAATTAATTACCTAATAATGGGGAGAGAGTTGTTAACGGGGGGAGGACGAGGTTTGGCAAAATGAAACAAAGATACACATCATACCTGCTGTGTTTTGACAAACTATTTTGACTCATTATATAATATATTTGATGGGAAAAAATATAGATTCTATCTTATAAAAAAAAAGTGCAACCTGTGCAGTTGTTCTTCCCATCCCCTTCGAATCCGTCTTTACATTGACAGTCGTATGAGCCTTTTGTATTGATGCAAGTTGCATTTGGATGACAAGTGAAGTTTCCTTCAGAGCATTCATCAATGTCTGAAAAATCAGGTTAATTTAATTCTTTTTGCAACTAGTGGGAAACGGATGTTTTTCATCAGGCTTTTTTTATTTGTCAAATCCAGACATTGGTACCTGAGCATTTATTTCCGTCACCGTTGTATCCGCTGACACAGTGGCAGTTATATGAACCTGGAGTGTTGATGCAGTTTGCATTTTTGCTACAATTGTAAGTTTCGTTTGCACATTCATCAACATCTGAAATACATTTGTCAAATTTATTTAAAATTCGTGAAAAACCATAATGAAAATAGCATAATATATATATATATATATATAGTAAAATCTGCAGACATGCATGTTTCGGCGTTCAACGCCTCGTGAGTGCAGCTTGGTACACGTCTAGATACGTATTTATACACCATGAACTTGCTCTCACCAAGGCATGTGGTACAACACGGTGAATAAACGCATTCAGACATGCACAGAGTATAATGGGTCCAGAGTGCTCAAACGACCACAAGGGAAGTGAGCTTTTGCATTATCGCTAATAGACACACCCATATATATATATATATATATATATATATATATATATATATATATATATATATATATATATATATATATATATATACATATATAATATATATATATATATATATATATATATATATATATATATATATATATATATATATATATATATATATATATATATATAT